ATTATTTTTAAAATGGAAACAGTTGTAGCGAGAGGCTTTCTTTTTTGTAAACGGCCTCCAGATTTTTCCGATATTGATGCAAATTTTCTGCAGTACATAAACAAGACCGCACGTGTCGCAACTTTTCCAATTACATTCAAATATTTGCGCAATTGTGCCTTTAACGCTTTGTGCTCAACGCCCGCACGTGGTGAACGATGATAAATATAAGCTGGCCATATTAGCTAAAATTAAATGTTATACAACCGGTGCCGTACACGTTAGTCGACTCGTATCTCCGGCGCTTGTACATAAATTATTACATCTTTATATTACATTAATCAAAACGCCTGACCACCGACAAACGCTTGCCGCCATTTTCTTCGCGAAATTCCCTCGGCTACTGCATTTTCCTCCACGATCCGAATCGATAATAACTTTCATACTTCCGTCATAAATATTATTACTATTTTTTTTATTCAGCATCAATCTTCACTACACATATTTCATGGACCCCAAAGCTTTCATAAATCCCAAGTACCGTGCCCATTGTACGCGATGAATGGTCGCGGATCAGCGAAGTCAGCCGCAGCTCGTATACCAACCTCTAATCAATCGCAAGCACGGTCCCAATCATTCGACTATTGGGTCGAACGCGGTTCGTTTCCCACATAAATAACGAAACCGATAAAAACGACGCCGAAGATTATTTGAGAAGCAACATCGGATCCCGTGGGTGAGGCTGGATGGGAGGCAAACAATGATTCGACTATTCGGAACGGCCGAGTATATTTCAGTATTCGGCGGCCTTCGCTTGAGCTACCAGGCCGCGGCAAAGAGAAAGGGAGAAGTAGAGGGGAAAAAAGGGGAACAAGGATTTGTTTTCATTGACATACCAGAGCGGGAGCTCGCGGCTTGTTTCGCAAAAATCTATTTTCGCGCGCTAATTATGTAGCGCGGGGAGGCAACATCACGAGCGTCGTACACACACACACACACACACACACACACACGTGCGAGATGACTTCTTCTTCTCTTGCGCGCGCGTTTCTGTCCTCTGCATGTATGTAAGTGTATTTTGCCGTCTGCCACCGCGCCACTTGGTCGGCGACGGATCATTGTTTACACTGAGACGTAGCACTGGAGCAAACGATCGTGATAATAACGGCCCCAAGTTCGATGACTGCATGACATATTCAGTGGAAACCTCCCGTCGGGGATAAAAGGCTTTTTTTTTAGGTCATTCCTCGAGAGACAAGAGCGGGTTGCAACCGCGCCGCGCTACACTTTCCATTCTCGATTCTCTCTTGTTTACCTAAGGCGGCCTCGATCGCCACGCGCTTCCGTAACTAGCGTTCGATGGAATTTTTCCGCGGCTCTCTAGATTTTGACGGATATGTGCTCGACCATCGTCCGTCGACACGATCGTTCAAATACATTAACACGATTACGAAGCAAAATGAACACCTAATGTTAGGTATTTTATTTTTTTAAATCGCTAAACTGAAGTTGCTGCAAATGGTCTAAAGACCATAGTCGCTTGGGTCAGTATCGAGATATTCAGTATGACTTGCGAATCTTAAGAGAAATTCCACTGAATCGATAACTATCGTTCGAGCCCTAATCTTCGTTTGTTAAAAATCTTAAAGATGTTCGAAATAAACGAAGGAAGAACAAGTAAATGACCAGAAGGTTCGTTCGTTGGACAGAATATTCGATCATGGTCAAAATAGTGACTGACGGAAGAACGTCGGCTCGCATAGCAACAGTATAATAACCGAGCAATTATTCATTTAAAGAAACGATAATGCCACCGATTCGCGGAAGAGTCAACAGCTATGAAACCGTTCTCGGTACGCTGGACTTTGTCGTCCCGTGTGTAAGACAGCCACGCTGGACGTGTAAACAAGATATCAACGGTTGAACGTCGGACAACAATATTATTAAATGGACCAGTCCGCGGATATTAATCGGCGTAGCCAAGCGGGGTGCTGTCGTCAAACGTTGCCCAAGCGTGCATTTACGCGTAGCGACAATGGACTCGTATTTCGGTCGGGCCGGACAAATGGTACTAGATTTGTAAAACGGATGACTGTCGTCAACGGTGCTCGCGTATCATTCGTCATGAGTTCGAACCGAAAGAACGGGACGTAAAGTTCTAGCAAACACGGAAGTTTCGAAGCTACGCTAATATCTCGATATTCAAATTGATCGCATTATGTTTTAAGGAATTGTTAAGAATAAAAGTAGATATTTATTTTCTCTTTGCTGATTCAACAATCAACTGTCTCGTTTGTTGTTCACGCACTGCTCTTATGCTTCCCGAAATCGTTTACAGAAGTATTTACACACACACACACACACACACACACACACACACACACACACACACACACACACACACACACACACAGACGTGTACACGCCACGTGACCATCAGCGTCGTCTGATCGCCGTCGACGACAAACCGTTGAAACCGAGATGACATCAAAGTACGAGAGCCGCAACGGGTATTCACGGTGGCTCGTATCAGCGAGTCTAAACAATGCCGCCCGTTAGCTTACAATTTTACTTTCCTCTCTGTTTTCATTTGTCATTTGTTCAAACGAACTCGATCGACACCAGAAATTTCTGTTCCTTCGATTACAAAACGATTTTCGTATCGAGATGACAACGGATATCATTGGTAGTGCTTCTGTTTCCCGTAGAACAGCATTGTCAATTTGATATTTACTTTTATCGCGCGATATGCCTCGATTTCCCCGTCCTGCGACCCCGCGAGACAACGTTACACAATTCCATTGTACAATATTTGTTGTGCGATTTGTAGATACGCAGGAGAGAGAGAGAGAGAAAAGAGAGGGGAACGCCGTGTGGCTGATGTGCTGCATTCTTAAGATTACGCATGAACTACTTTTCGAGGGGACGCGATAAAAAAGCTTCTTTATCAGACCGGTTGCGTGCCCGATCGTATCGGCTGCGACGGCGTGATCGGGTTATCGTCGAATGTTTTCGAAATTGATGTCTACCGATAGTTCATCAGTCAACAAACACGATACGGGGAAACACCTGACGGATGCATTCCCAAGAAACAAGTAACGCACGATCTTGTCAATGATTCTACGCTACGTCCAACTACACCATAACGCAAGACCGATCAATAAACTCGGGGTCGCGGTGGAGGAGCGAACGGGAAAACTTCGCTAGACGAAACGATTTCAGATTCGAAGTACATAGAGCTGGGAGTAGTATTTACCCGAAATTGGATCTCGACGAGCAGTAAACGCTACTGAAACGTCGAGTGCGTCCAAGTCAACGACACAAACATGTTAAGTCGATCCTTCACGTTCGGAAACGGGATGAATAAACGTAAAGGAGGCTTTAAAAGGGCGCGCTCGTGAGTACAAGTGGCCAGAGGGAAAGAGGGAATGCTAAGTGGCAGGGCAAAGAAGAAGACTGAGGAAGGCGTTCTCCGAGGATACTCACGGAGAACCGACCGGATGCAACGCCAGAATGGGAATGCAAGGCTCCGCGCGCGCGAGAGTCCGTTACTCGCGTCGGGTATTTCCCAGAACGCGACTATAAACAAACAAACACATCAAGAGAGAGAGACAGGGCAGTGTGCGCGCGTGTGATCCATGCCCTCCCTTCCAAGGCGCGCACGACTCAAGCTACAGTTCCACGCCGGCGGGGAGGGAGAAGAGAATACTGGCGCCGTCGGTTGAGTAACCCCACCAGAAACGTTGCGCACGCGCATACGACGGGATTCCCCCATTTCCCCCACCATCGACACCCGCCAGTCGCCCCACTCCACACGCTCTTTCTCTGTTCTCAGCAAACGACGCGATGCACGGTCAAATTCAAACGTGAAGTCGGCTCTGAACGCTCGTCGATGATGACAAAGTATCCACAATATTTACCTTCGATGTAGCGCGTCTGATTTTAGCGAAGAAGGAATGTATTCATCGCTTACCCCCGATAATTTCGTGATGTTTTCTGCAACGAGGAAAATAGACGGATTCTCGGAAGCCTTGCTTCAAGAATGCCGTAGCCGCTTTCCTCGATGCGCCGTAGTCTATTGCATAGCACCTTCGAATACCTCGCATTCTAGTCTCTCGAAGCCAGTCAAAATTAAGATGTTTCTCCCAGAATCTCATTTGGTATTCGAATCTGCGGTCTCGTCTCTTTTCTTTTTTTCAATTTGCAAAACTTTGTTAGCTTTTTCAATATTTTTTTTTCAACCAAATCGTCGAAGGAATTTGACGTATTTAAGACTCAAGGGAATGGTATTACCCTGCCAGTTCGTTGTGTTCTATTTTTCGTTCCATGGCGTTGAGGGGGAAAAAGGAAAAAGGGCGACGCAACAGGGACAAGACGAGAAGAGAAAGACTCGGGGTGGTGTCTCGATGCTTTCATTGCAATTTTCGCACTTGACCGCAGGGGTAAGCGTGCTTTACGATTCGCGGTAAGATTACCATCGACGTTGGAGTCTGGGTGGGGGATCGTTGCCCCTCGATATCCCCACCCTTATTCCCGGATGCGGGTCTCGTGGCCGGTGGTGGTGGAGTGACGCGGTGGTAGGGCGCGAAGAAGTAGTGGAGAGGCTTGCCGCCAACGAGTGGTCGATGGTGGGGGGAAAGCGCGGGTTAGCAGCCGGGACACGCCAGGCGTAGAATTCAGTAAGCGAACGGCTCTCAACGGCCACGAACGTGTTTTTCGTTCTTCGGTTCCCGCGCATGCATATATATACATGTACACGTATATATGTACCCGAAACTGATCCGAAAGAAACATTATCAAGACGCTGTCGGAAATTCGCAACATAACCATAACAACGAACAGACGCCGCGACACATACCCGGTTATTTCTCGAGAGTTTACCAGTTCAAAAACGCAAACAAAAATATAAACAACAACACCCAAAAAGAGTTTTCGTTTTTTTGGTTTCGCGATTCTTCGGTTCCTGATTTTTTCGTTTTTTCCGCAACTGTGGCTTTAATCATTCAAACTGGATTCCAACAAGCAGTACGTGTCGCGATTACATCGCGGCTACCGGAGGCTTAAGAAATTATTCAAGGTAAGAGAAGAAGAAAGTACCATATAATCGTACGTTCCCCCGTAAATCGCGGGCCCGTGTTAATACCGTACGTATCCGTAGTATAAACGCATTGAATCAGTTCCGCGAAAGGTGTGATATCGAGAGTGTGACGCCGCGCAGTTTACTCGCAGAACCAAGTGAACCTCGTTAATTCTACGAAAAACTGACGGAAATCTCGAAAATCGTCGCACTTCTGTTTACAGTAGGATATGTGGTGGACGAAGGTACGCACGGTGTATGCGACACGCAGAGAACTTCATCGCCATGTCAAGGGGCCAACGTTTGCTTGTCAACAACCGCGCGCACGAAATCTATTGTTTTTGTTTTTCGTGAAAACTCGTCGAACAATCCAGAACTAAATAATTTACCGGTTGAATACAATATCTGAGAAACGTCTGAGACGACGTTCCCACGGACCGCAAAACTCTCGACAAAGGGGCGTGTGGTAACATTGTTCAGAAAAGGCGCGTCTTCCGCGGAATCGGAAGTGGTTTCGTTGTTACACACGATTATTCCCGCTTCTCGTGTTTTCTTTTTTTTTCTTTCATTTTTTTTTTTTTTGTATTTACGAGTTCACTCGCGACTACATAGATTGTGTACGTTTGTTTTTATGTTCACAAGAAAATTCGTGATACCCATCTGGCGTCGAAACGTCAGATACCAAATCTGTTGAAATATCCGCAGATTCAAGTTGTCACTTCAAACTTCCGCCGGGGATTCTTTCGTGATTGTGAGAATTTCTCGAGATCGAAGGACTTTGAAGGAAAATTGAAATTTTTGGACTTTGCCTCTGTAACGAAAATGAACCGTACATTCGGTGTGTCGAAAAAAAGAGGTGAAAGAAAGAGGAAGGTTAACTCACCGCCTCGAACCATGAATAATTTACATTCGCTCGTATTTAAATAAATTCGCCGCGAGCTGTCGATTCCAAAACAGGCAAGCACGTAATCTCGACGCCGCCGTTCGAAAGTTGTTTACGTTAGCCGACCAGGCAACTTTAAACGAATTTCCACAGAAACGGTAAATGTATCCAACTTGACAGTTTCGAACTATCGATACTTGTTCACGATATCGGAACAAAAATAAAACGTTGCATCTGTTTACGACGGAAAAATATATATATTCTTCTATTTGTGACACGCGCGCGCGTACGATTATTTTCTCGACTAGCGATGCTAAAACGTTTGTTTATGAATATTCGTTTCGGAAGCGGAAACGTGCACTCGGGGAGAAAAAACTGTTTAAAAATTCAAATCTTTATCGTACGTCGTTAATTGTGTCGTTAATCGTTCTAGGATTTATTAGATAGTGGAAACAAGTGTGCGCTGACGTTCGTAGCTTATTAAACTCGAGGATTCTAGAACATATCTGTAATACATGTTCCACGGACAGTGTTGTTTTCCCGCGCGTGTCAACTTAATGACTAAACAGGATTGCAGCGCGATAATTCGAATCGAGGTTCCCTAATTTTGGGCAAAGCAAGCAAACTGACAAAAATCTGTCGCGAGGTCGAGTGATTCGCGCGCGCGATACACACGTGAACCTCGAGTGATCCGTAGAAATTCGCCACCGCACACTCGAGAGACCACCACAGAGGCCGTGAGAGAGACAGCAAGCGTCATTATAACGGCCATCGACGTCCGCGACCGAAAAAACATGTTTGGATCGAGCGCTTGTTTATACGATACGATGTGAAAGCAAACAGTTTTGTGGCCGTCTCGGTCGCGACGTAGCTTGATCTTTGTCTCTGAGAATACATTTATCTCGACGACTACCAAAAAAAAAACAAAAAAAGAAAAAAATATTGACCTCGCGCGCGACGCTTTTGACCAATCCGTTAATGACTCGAGACGGTTAAATGCATTACAGCTCGAAACCCTCTGCTGCTAATGGAAGCTTTCGTAGGTATCGATCCGCGTTGGTACCTGTACTTAAGATCACTTTTCGATGCTACGGATTGAATATTGTAATTTCAGACGTGGTCGATGGCTAGTGTTTACGATTTCGTTCTTGCCTCATGAGTTAATGCACCTCCATAGTGATCCTGTTATTAGTGTTATTTTAGAACACCCCTGAATCTTACGGAACTGGTGTTTTCTTCCAAATCATTACATTTTGTACCACTTGCAGCTAATTTTGTAGAATAGTTGAAGAAACATTCCTCTGCACTTGTTTCTTGCACGCTAATAGCTTACGTCAACGAATGCGCTTGTAATACGAGATTATTGATGACAGTAAACGTAAAAATGAATATTAGAAACGTTGCTGTCATATACATCCGCTTTACAGAATCTCGATAGATTTACCTTGGTAGATCTCACCTAGTTGGGCAATAAAAGTCGAAATACGATATTGGTGAACGACTGTTGCTATTTCCTTAACTTGTATATACCTTCCCTTTAAAACATTGTATTGAATGACATCCCGAACTTGTGCGACCAGGCTTAAACTTTCGCAGTTTCGAAACTGACGGTCAATATTTCTGTAAGATTGTGTAACTAATTCGGCCTAATTATTCAGCATCGATAGCAGAACACGTATACACGAAAACATACGTCAGCAATTAACGAATAAAAGTTTCTCTTAAATCTGGTCGCATTGCTTGTCGCATTTATATTAGACCAGCACATAACCAACACCATTCCCGCTTAAAGATCCGAGTCAAGCAAACAAGCGTATCAGGTGCACGGAATGAAAGAATTCATTCGTGGCGAGACGTGGTATCGACCCTCGACGAAAATCGACGCTGTGCTTGTAGGCCCTTTTATTAGTCTCCCTCCCTCCTTCTATCTATCTATCTATCTATCTATCTCTCTCTCCCTCGTTCTCTTTCTCGAGCAGGCACCGCGCCGTGGCGTGTTCCAATTTAGTCGCGGAGCAAGCGCGCGCGACACGTTTCTCAGCGTCTGCGAATGCAAAACATCTCATTCACGGGCAAAAGTGCTGGCCGCCTGCGCCAATAGGCGTAGTCCCTTCTGGGTAGCCGGCGAAAAGCGCGATGTGTCGGGTCGGGGGCAGAGGGTCGTCAGAGGGGGCGGGTAGACGGGTGAGGAGAAGGGTCTACGATCATTGCTCTCTGTCTCTTTCTCTTTCTCGTTGCTTGTCGTCTTCTTCTTCCTGGCTTCGGTCGCGCGCGCGCGCGCGGTGAGGCGGCGCGAAGGGAAAGGAGGAAAGTGTCGCCGCGTACCATCGGTAGAGGGCAGCACACGGCGCCCTGCACGAAAAACACAAGCTCGCAGCAGAGAAAGAGAGAGAGAGAGAGACGGGGACGGATCGAGCGTTACGAGAGACGCGCGCGGCGGAACCCCTGAGAGAATGCGCGCCTCCGCGAGAGAACGAGACGACGAGACCAGTAAGGCTAAAATTAGAATGTCCGTTGGAATGCTGTTGGCTTGTGTGTATGTACAGGGTGATTCAGCGATCGCGGGAGGAGCATACTCATATTTAGAGCCGCGAGTGGGAGAGAGACAGAGGGACTGAGAGTTTAACGGACGCGCGCCCCCCGAAGTTATTCGTTTCGAGAAGATCCGAGGCCGTTGTCGCGTCTCGCCTCCTTTTCCTTCCGGCAAATTTGCTCCACTGCCTGTTCTCGTCGCATTTTTCGCGACCGTCTGCCTTCCGTTCTCGTTCCGACAAAAATGGCCCGTCGAGTCCTCGAGGAAACTTATTCCGAGAGAACGCGAAAGTGTCGCAGGGTCATCGAAATGCCTCTAAGATGGTTAACTTTGAGAATTGTCTTTGAACTGTCGTACCGTTAGGTTGTACTGTTTTATTTTCAACTCGTCACGGATTCTGATTCGGACTCTGAACTTCTACGACTTGTATCACAAGTGGATTCAGAAACATATTTCGTATAGAGATCGTATCATGTGTTTCCCTATATTCGTACGACCCTCTTTTTCCGAACAAACACCACCGATGATGGAGATCGAGGTGGTAATTCCAAGTGCCTCACCCTGTACGTATCTACGATCTAAGCAAATTGCGAGGTCGTCTGGTGGGACGTTAGTCGGTATATCGATTATCCCCTCTGCCCCGACCGAGACTTCTCGTTGATATCTAGCGATCGAAGCTGAGTCTCTGTCCTGCGGTATCCGTCGGTGGTTATCCCTTGGCGAGGAGCGAGCTAGAGACACAGAGAGGCAGGAGTCAAGGGACCAAGGAATAGATAAGCAAATAAATAAACTAGCGGGGCAAAGCGAAAGCCAGCCAAGCAGAGGGGAGTAGGGCCGCTGCTGGGTGGCTCTCGGGCAAATGCTCGACGAGGTCGACGGCCTGACACGGATGGTTGACGCCGTGGGGCCCGCCTCGTAACCGGCCTGGGAAGAAGAAGAAGATGAAAGAAAGGGCCTTGCCGACTTGCGTTTTCATCGTTCTAAATATAAGTCCCTCCTTCTTCCTCCTGTCCGGCTGGCACGTCTTCCTCGCCGGTGTCTGATGTCTCGAACCAGTCGCCTCGGTTTCTTTGATTAATTCGTATCCCTTATAAAGAAGGGTTGATCGGCCAGACAGTATACGGTCGAAAAACCGCTTTGGAAATTTAATAGTCTGCCAAGTCTTATATCCTCGTAAATTTGTTACGATACGCCTAAGTTTCGGGCACCAGTACACCCTTACTAGAGTTAAAGGGTTTCGAGTCTACGAGTGTTGTCGCTCGAAAAACTATCCTTCTTCCAGGTTCGTTTTGTATCGCGTTCTATTTCCACTCTGTCTTCCCGTTTTCGGAGCCTCGTTAAGATGTCATCGATATTTACGTCCCGTTAACATCAAATACCTACCAATCTCGTCTTCTGCGTTCTCGACGAGAAGCTAGTAAAGCTTGTTTGGAGAGTCAAAGAGCGTACACCGGTCCTAGACGGTCAAAGACCGTTCCCCCATTGGAGGGAAAGGGCGAGACGGCGGCAAGAGAACCGTATTTCGAGGATCATCCGGATTCCCTTGTTCGAGGATGGGAACTTGTTCCTTTCTTTTGTAAGGGCCACCGGTATATAACGCGGGATCCGTCTTTCGGCGGAAGTACACAATGGTAATGGAAGGAAGGAAGTAGCAGGCGAAAGGGTCGGCTCGCGATCGTCTTTCGGGCCGGAAATGAAGCGCGATCGACGTTTAAAAATCGTGCTTGTCTATGCGCGCGCGTATGTGTGTCCTACGTACACAGCCTTTCCGAAACCCTTCTTTCACTTGCGTCGCCGCACCCTTTGGGGTTTCATTGAATTTCATGACCACAGAAAGCGTTGTCGTCTGATCAGGTCCCGGATTCGTTGACCCCCCATTATGCACGCAGGTAGGAAGGCATCTGTTGCAAGATGCCCCTTCCGTGGGGCCAATTACGCCGAAGACGTATTCCGTCGTTCTCGTTGGTATCGTCTTCCATTAGAGTAGCTTCTGAGACATAAATATGTATGTAAGAGCGATTCAACGTCGTAAGAGGAAATAATTTCTAATTACAAAACGACCCTCCTCGGGCCCGTAGGTCATGTGTTTGCTACCGTTGAAGGTCAGCGTTAACGGCACCGATCTCTGGCAAATATTTGTCTGGACCTGGACGAAGCGGAATTCCTTTTGTGATCCGGCCTATAAATGTCTTCGAGTTCTTTTGTCCTCCTCACGGAGAAAACTAGCATTCGAAGACCGAATACGATATTACGATAACAATCCCAAGAATCGATGGTCTGCTCTTTGTGTCCAGCGTTATTTTCTTCATTGTTAGACGCGGCGTCGTTCCCGCACGTGAAACGCGCGCTTCGACCTGGCACTTATCCGTTCACTCGTCCAAGTTTGTCGGAGTCGAGGTCAACTATTCGCGCCAGAGCAGCAATTCTTCGATCGAGATATCGTCAATTAAGTATCTCGCAATAGATTGGCCCGCACAGCCTTGAAATGTGTGCTCGAACGTGCGTGAGATACGAACGCGCGCGCGCTTTCGTTTCACACCGAATCACTCGACACTCTGACCGACCGGCTGCTGCTGAACAGCCCGTCATCCAGACCTGCACGGCGTGTAGCCCACGTGCGGGTCTCTCTCGGTGACGTCACTTCCGGCGCTTCATTTCCGGACGATCGTAGGCGGATGAGAGGAGTTAAGCACACCCGGACGCGCGTGCGAGTTCGTGTTTCCTCGGTGTTCCAATTAACTTTTCAGGATCGCAAGGATGTCGTCTCGATACACACGATGGTTTCAATTGATTCGTCGAGGTGGTCGTTCTATATAAACCGTGTCCGTCGTAAAAGAACCATGCCCGAAACGCGCGCGCATGAAACATATTGTTTGGGTATCTTTGCCGCGTTTAAGAAACGCGCCAAGGTACCGGTTAGTAATTAAGTCGTGGATGTTTTTGTTGTAGCGTGTGGCGAACCAGGCGCTTACCGTTTCGCCACAGCCGGCAGTAACGGTGGAGGGGCCGGTGTCCAAAATGTCTCCACCAACGAACGACGTGACCAACGGTGTGGTTGCGCCAGCCAACACCCTGGCGCCCCGGGTTTCGCCAACCGCGAACCCGGCCCTTACCACCATCAACCCGCCAACGCACAAGCGGACTCCCAAAGACTTCATCTTTGGCAAGGTGATCGGCGAGGGTAGCTTCTCCACCGTAAGTGTATTATCCCATTAACTCGATTAAATCGTTAAGAAGCTCCGAATTAACACCGACGAGTAATGGGGACTGAGTTTTTCCCCTCTCTAATCCTCCAGTGATTCTCAAACTTTCTCTCCCTCGTTACGAAACTTTCGACCTACGCCCCCGATCCCGAGAAAAGAACTTTTTCTCCCGTCCAGCAACCCCTCCTCCCTACTTCGAAATAGTAGTATCGATGTAACCAGTGTTCTTGGTTTAATCAGTTTCTATTGGCGCAATGCTGTACAAGGAATTTGGTTAAGGGGAGAACCTATACTTCGATGAATTTGCAAAATGTTTGAAATTTCGGTGATTGTTTATCTCTAAGAACAAACGATACCCAGCCCTTAACCAGCTCTTAACCAGCCTGGTTTTCGATGGTCTCAGGTTTACCTCGCCAAGGACATTCACACCAGCAAGGAGTACGCGATCAAAGTGTGCGACAAACGTCACATCATCAAGGAAAAGAAGACCGAGTACGTGAAACGCGAGAAGGAAGTGCTGAACATGCTCGCAGGCGCGAAACACTCGTTCGTGCGCTTGTTCTGTACGTTCCAAGACGTGGAAAGACTCTATTTCGTCCTGTCTTACGCGAAAAATGGCGAGCTCCTGCCCTACATCAACAAGGTTGGCTCCTTCGACATCGAGTGTACAAAGTTCTACTCGGCGGAGATACTCCGTGGTCTCGAGTACCTCCACGGTCTCGGTATCATCCATCGCGATCTCAAGCCGGAGAACATATTGCTGGACGAGAAAATGCACGTGCTCATCACCGATTTCGGTAGCGCGAAGATCCTCAAGGACCCGGAGACGGTGTTGACGCACACCACCTCGGACGACCCGCAGCAGCAGCAGCAACAACAGCAGCAGCAGCAGCAATATAGAAGAGAACGGAGGGGCTCGTTCGTTGGTACCGCCCAATACGTGTCGCCGGAACTCTTAACCGACAAGACAGCGAGCAGAGCCTCGGACCTCTGGGCGCTCGGCTGTATAGTCTACCAGATGGTCTCCGGTCTGCCCCCGTTCCGCTCTAGGAGCGAATACATGATTTTCCAAAAGATCCTGAAGCTCGAGTACGAGATACCAGACGGCTTCTGCGAGCTGGCGAGATCGTTGGTCAGTCAGCTGTTGGTGCTCGAGCCGACCAAGAGATTGGGCGCTCAAGACGAGCACGGCGCCGGATACCCTAGCATCAGAGCGCATCCCTTCTTCGAGGGCGTCGACTTCGAGACCCTCCACGAACAAACACCACCGCCGATCTACCCTTACTTACCCGGTACGTCCGAGCACGAGGAGCTCAGATCGCAGTACAGGGTTCCCGATCACCTTGAACCCGGCCTCGACGATAAACAGCTGACCAGGCTTCTTGGTTTGGGTATCGGCGAGGATGACGACGATGACGACGACGAGGACACGACCCCCCACCGCGAGAAACCCGCGCGGAAAACCAACACGGTCGTCGAGAAACAGCCGAGAAGACGAACGATGAACATCGACGGTAACATCGCCGATCTGACGCCAGACGAGATCAGGAACAGGCTGGAGAAGCAGCACACCTCCAACCAGTGGGACGTCTTCGTCGAGGGTAACCTTATACTGAAGCAGGGCTTCGTCAACAAGAGGAAAGGCCTCTTCGCCAGACGGAGAATGCTCCTGCTAACCACCGGACCACACCTATACTATGTCGATCCTGTGAACATGGTGCTCAAGGGCGAGATACCCTGGAGCCCGGAGCTAAGGGTCGAGCCGAAGAGTTTCAAGATCTTCTTCGTCCACACGGTGAGTGATATCTTCCACCTCGTCGAAATATTCGTTTATACCCACCGTCTGAATAGGACCTTTTTCTTATTTATCATCAACGAGAAAATCTTCACTTGTTTTAAAGAAAGTCGGCGTAGATAGAGAAAACGTAGATCGCAAACTGAAATAACAATTCCAAGCCCTGCTATTTTCGGAATGCCCGGGGCAAGTCCACGTAAATTTATTTCCCGGACGATGTTTACCACGATTAAAAATAAAGTTATGCCAGCGATAGTAGCAAAACAGACCTTGGCCCGGTTCGTTTACCCTTGTTTACGCCGTGCCGTATTTCAGCTATAGAAGTCCGCGTCAACTTGTTTTTCCTGTCTGGTTACAGCCAAACAGAACCTACTATCTCGAAGATCCCGAAGGATTCGCATTGGAGTGGTGTAGAGCGATCGAAAACATGCGAGTCCACTATTACGGCCTGCAGGAGACCACCGCTTAAACAAACAAGACTGAACAGTGATCGTTTTTCACGGACGGAGAAGTACGGACGAAAGAAGAGGAGAAAAAGGTTTTCATCCTGTTGTAGACTGTATATGGAAAAGTGTGAAAAGTCCGCGAGGTGGGTGCGACAACCGACCGCGAAACACGTTTCTCTCGTTCGTGGCCAGAGGGAAGGCGATTCTAAATAGATGATTCGATTAGGGTAATTGCGACTCGTCGTTTAGGAATGGTACGTTTCTAGGATATAAGTTTAGCGTTGTTCTAGTACGATCGAACGGCGTTTTCTGTACAGCTTAGGAGAAATTTTCTAGATAAACAAATTGAAAGTCAAACACTCCACCCCACGAGGTTAACCGCGCGCGACTCGGTGGTGGATGGGAAAATGCGTAGTATCGTGCAGTTAATAAATTTTTCTCCCGGTTACGTTAATAGTTCTATATTTATTATCGATTACGGGGAATCTCGATGGGAGGACTGCACGTATTCTTTCTAGCACGCGCAATATACAAATGATTAAAAAAAATAGGGAAAATTTTAGCCAAGTTTTTATAGCTGTGCGCGTGCTCGCGCTGCCTGATAGGACGCTCGCGGTCGAGGTCGCCCGGAAACATGAAAAGAAAAAAAAGAGAATTTATTTTCATCCACAAATATTCCTCCACACACACGCAATTCGTCGTAACGCGTTTCTAACGAAGAAAACAACGTAGTCAAAATTAACGAGATATAGAATAATTCAGAGACGAATACACGAAGAGAAAGAGATTGTTGTAAACGCGATCAAACGAAAGGGCGATATTCGATCGCGCGCGTTCCATGCAGCGTGAAGAGGTGTTTCGTTCCAAATGTAGCGAAAATTACATAGAGAATTAAAGACGAGTTTTTAGATGCTGGTATCGACGGCGACTGAAGAGATTACGTCGGCTGTCGGTCCCCGCAGATCTAGGCGTCAATTTATATAGTCGAAGTCAACCAAAAATTGTCCAGAAAAATCCAGTGGGGGACAACGTATCGCTTTGCAGCTTTAATAAAAGAAAAACCATTTACGTTGCCTGAAAGGGGTCACCGGAATGTTGCGCGTTATTCCGGCCCGCCCTTTGCTCTCTTCACGTTCTACAGTATTTTTCTCTCGTTGTTCGTTGCCCTCTTTCCACGATACTTTGTAAATATTAGCGCGATTTCCACGAAGAGCAGGCTTCGTAAAGCGTCTTATTAATATGTATAAATAGTGTTCTATATATAGGTAGATAGATATATTTCTAGGTACAAAAATCGTTGTCCAGCCACGGTTTTTCTACAACGCGCGTAAAACGTTTTTCTTCTTAGTCCCGATTCTCATAATCGCCTTCCCCGATCTGGCCCCCGCGGACTCGAATCGAGTATGTGTGTATAACCGAGAACTGGAAGAACCAGCAACCTTTTTAGATCTTAATCGAAGACAAGACTTCGAGCGGCTTGTTCAAGGAATACGAAATGACAAAAAGAAACGTGTTGTACAAAAGGAGGAAAGCGGTGGAGTTCGGAAGAGAATAATGAATCTTTTCTTCCCTCGTGAAAGACTAAGGACACGCTTGAACGTGACACTATGAGTTAGGTAGATAGATGATAGAAAATTAAAAGGATAGCTTTAAGAGACGTTAGTATCCCGTTTAGATGCAAAATTACCCAGAAACGTACACGTATTACACACTTAGCACATTCATTAATCGCGTTCTCAAACTATCGTCGTTATTAATTCTTACGATTAGTATAATTTTTCTAGTATTTAGTATCGCTAATACAGTTATATCGTTAACGTTCTATTGTTATTAACTGTTCCGTCATGTATTACCGACATAAGTGTTCTCTGCCCCTTGTAAAACAATATGTCCGCACGTTATTTAAGCGATTTTTCCATTCATCGTGTTCCATTTTCTTCTTTTTTTTTTGTTTTCGTTTGTTTTCTCATTGTTTTTTGTTTTCACACGCGCGCACACATACACAATTCCAATTTAATTTATTGCATTACTGTACTCGTCCCCCGCGATTATTTATTTTCACCGGTTTTACGTTCCCGCGAGATATATCGAAAATCTACACATATACGTTTTCGTAAGAATTTAAACATACACACACACACAGACTTGCTAGTACCACTACCGCTACCACCACTGCGACTATTATTTACGACAACCGTTGCTATTGCTACTACTTTAGTATTAAACTATTTACGAGCGCCCACGCTCGCGTACGCGTGTACACGCGCCTCGCGCAGATACCTTGTCGTGTGTACACACGGCCGCGCACACGTGTAAATACGTTCTGCGACTGTATTTAATATTATTGTCCTTAGCCGTAATAGTTTAGGGTTTTCTGTAAATACTACTGCCGGGCGCGCGTTCATCATAGAGACACACGGCTTCGACACGCTATTCGAAACGTTTGCGCGCGATCCAGTCGTGGCCGATAAAGCAAAAACTTGTACGATACTTGTATATTACCTATACATAAATATTCTATAAATAATAGATATATATATATATTATATAAAAGTATATATATATACACACATATATACATATACAGATATACAAAGTATTTATGAATTGTGAATAGTAGTTAGGAAAATCGTGTATAAAGAAGAGAGAGATCGTTCGTAGGGTTTAGGCCACAACCACGCGCGCGCTTAGGTTTAATATTTCGTTGACGTTACCTATTTACGGCCCACGACTCGATCCGCGCGCGCTCATGCGATTATCTACCGTGACGTGTTGTGTATTATATGTATAAGAAATCCCCCCGTACACACAGCTCCTCCTCCTCCTTCGCGTGACACTTAGAAGACTTAAACAGGGTATTCGGAGGAGAGATAGGGCGAGAGACGGGTCGATCGTCGTGTCCGCGATGCCACGCGAAGTATGCTCGAAATAATGGTGGTTCGCTCGCGGACCATCATTGTCCTTGCGTCCAGTGGCTTTCCAAAATGACCGCTTTTGGCGTGCCACGTACGGTGCTTGCGGGCGAAAGCGGGGCGCCGCGGCCTCGACGAGCCATCCCGTCGCCCTCTCTCTGTTTCTTCTCCCTTCAACTATATATATAGTGAGAATCGATCGCGCGGAGGAATTCCGATAGTTGTTGCGCTGCCTTTATGCGGCCTCCCCCTCCTTCATCCTAACCTCGCCTCTCCCATATCTCGGTCCGCTCACGGAGAGAGTAGCGTCTCGGGCGGCGTGTACGTGTGCTAGGCATAATGAAAAGAAAAACATGTAAAAAATCGAACGCGATCTTTCCGTCGGAACGAAGCAGCCCGTCGAAAAGCGTCTGTTAAAATTTTCTCAGAGTCGTCCGTGGATGTTGTTAACCCCGGGGCTTCGATCGTTCACGGCTATGTCCGATTAAAAAGTTCCTCGCTTCTGTCGACGTGAACCCCCTCGCTTCGTTCCCTCTGCGAAAGAACGTGCGCGTATCCACAGCGACGCCGTTCCATCGACCCCCGAGGCGTTTAATCACAACGCACCGGGTCGGTGACACGACGACGCCTGGCCGACACGTTTCCACCGTGTGTTAGTAAACTTTGCAGGTTCTACGTTTTATGCAGGCGTTGCAAACTTTCAGGTGGAAACGCGTTTCCTACATTTTGGGCGCTGGCTCTCCCTCTCCCGCGCCCGGGGGAAGGGTAGTCGCTTTTATTATATTTAAAGTAGTTACTTCCGTCGTTTCTTCAGAGACTGGTCAATCACTGAGATTCCTGTCCCCCGGGGAGGACGGCGCTCACAAATCTCTCTCTTTTTTCTTTTGTATCATAGTTCCACTCTTACGTTTAGCCGAGTAAACTTAAAATCTCTAGCCCGTATTTGTTGAGAGATGATAGATGGATACATTGTCAACGCGATCACGTGACACGAGAAAATATATATAGTTAATTTAATTTATACCGCTCGCGAGAAGAATGAATACTTAATAGAGGCGCGAGGATGTCGGTGGTAATGTAAAAGAATGTGAAAAATTCGTTCTCGGGATGCACTAATTCAACTACACGCAAGCAATAACAACCATGGCCTTGCGATTATTTGATTGCCTACCGTTTCGGCGTGATAAAGACGGTTCAACTATTAATTGCAGTATTACTAAATGTATACAGACTAATGTACACTTACACGCCACACAGAAAACACACACACACACACACTAGATACACCACTGCACACAACGATTCACTCGTACACACACTGAATACTTCACATTGGATAAGAAGACTCTGTAAATAGCTAGCATGTAATTGATATTATATAGGCGACATGACCTATTAACATCAAGTTTATTTATAGTAAATTTTCCGAAATACCGTATATCTTTCTGTTATTATTCTACACAACCTATCCTATCCGAATAAAAACTTTTTATTGGCGCGGTGGGTGCGGGATTGCAATAAATTATGGTAATTATATACAGAATGATATATTTGTTTAATAAACGTATGTACAATCTTGTACGTCGCGAAAATTCAGAGTAGTTTAAAATTGCATGTCTAGCAACATTAGCGTAACAAATCTCTATTGGCCTTTTGTCGCCAACTAATATTGCACATGGTAATTAATCGGTTCGGTATTTATAATCTAGGGAATTAGAGATTAAAAAAAACATCTACCAGCTTGAGTAAACAATTATTTTGTTAAACGATAGTTCTTTGATTCGGTAAATGTGTCAGCAAGTGTCTTTTTAATTCGGGCATGTTCTTCGGAGTTTCGGGACACTTGTGACATTTAAGCGGAGTGTTTAAATGCTGTGCACTGTCTTCGGATTTTAATTTTTTGAGTTCACCCTTCTCACGTAACTGATTGTGGATATCTGTAACAGGTACAAAATTTAAGTAATATACTTAATTTAAAAAACAATGGCAAGAGTGACTCTTGGAAAAAAATCTTTACCAGTTGAATGCAGAAAAAAGGGTGTTATGAATGAATTCCAGTGGTACTTAGTTTTCAAACAAGGGCTGTTGAAGTCTGTGCTTATTACATGTAAGTGTAATCGTTGCATACTTGGTACAGCATGGTAGCCAATTCTATAAAGAAAACATTTACAAGTACTTCCTCTTATAACTATTAACTTGTCTCAACTTAAGAATAATAGTATGCATACAAAAATTCCGAATCTTCATGCCCCTTAGTTAACTCTTCAGCAACATTAGCCATATGGAGCAACAAATCCTCATTCTCCTTTTTAAGGTGCCAGATTGAGGGGATATTTACTTTCGGTAGAACCAGGTAGTGGAACTGAGCCTTTGGATACTTATCCTTAATAACAACTACTTTGTCATCTTCTTTTACTCTGAGCTTAGGGTCTTCCATAGAAACTAACAAACCTGTTGCCCAATGGTGTTTTTTTGGAGCTGTTGCGTTGATCGATGTCATTTGGGGTTTGCGTTTCATTGTTAATGTTGCTTCATATAGTTTTTTGGTAATAATTTCTGCTACAACCTATGTTCAGAAATATGTATTTGGCAAAATCGCCACATTATAAATAGATTAATACCACATTACATGATAAGAAAACATTGCGAGTATAAAAAATCAACGTTAACGTCATTCTAAGTAGCATTTAACGAGGATACGTTCACAGTAGACATTAATTTGTAGACGAACTCACTTGAAACCCTAAAACCTTTACGCTAATCTTCATCACAATATAAACATTTCTGAGGTTATGTTTGTTTTACGACTTTTATTAAGCACGATGCAAAATTGACTAATTAGTACTAACATTTTAGAATTAATATCATATATTTGTATCGATCTTCACACTTTTTGCACTTGTTTAATTTTATTATGCCCCGAATGAAGGGACGTTGAAGGAGTTTGACATTTACAAGAAGACTGCAGAAGGCTGTTTGGCACACATGACCCTGCGCAGTTCACTTGACAGTTTTGCACACGATTTCTAAATGTGAACGTTAAAATAGACTGAAGTAGAAGTTCTCTTATTCATAACATAATTTATTTTGAAAATATAGAACTTCGAAGAGGTTGAAACTAAATGCTTTCAAATGGCTCTGTCGTTCATTCGATTCAATCGTCGATCGAGAGACTCTTAATTAATAATTTATTCTTCATGTGTACAGACGTTTAACAAATTAGTTACGCCATCTCACCACGCTAGTAGGAGTAACGTATAGAGATTATAGACTATGTACATACATTAAGTTCTTACCGTAGTATCACTAGTTGTGACAGTAGTATCAATAGTTATTTTAGCAACATTAGTTGTTACTTCGATATTACTAGTTTTTGCTTCGTTATTACTAAGAGTAACCACCACCAATCGCAATTAATCTTTAACCAAAATTAACTAATAACCATCACTGACTACCAACATCCACTAACCATCGTTAACCGCCGGACTTCTACTAATCACCGGATTCTACTAACCACAGCCTTTCCACCAATCACCGTTAACCACCGGAGACTTCCGCCAATCGAAGGATTCTACTAACCACCGGCCTTCCAGTAATCGAAAGATTCTACTAACCACCGGCCTTCCGCCGATCGAAAGATTCTACTAACCACCGGCCTTCCGCCGATCGAAAGATTCTACTAACCACCAGCCTTCCGCCAATCGGAAGATTCTACTAACCACCGGTAGTAAAGGAAAGCCGGTGGTTAGTAGAATCTTTCGATTTGGTGGAAGGCCGGTGGTTAGTAGAATCTTTCGATTGGCGGAAGGCCGGTGGTTAGTAGAATCTTTCGATAGGTGGAAGGCCAGTGGTTAGTAGAATCTTTCGATTGATGGAAGGCCGGTGGTTAGTAGAATCTTTCGATTGGTGGACGGCCGGTGGTTAGTAGAATTTTTCGATTAGTGGAAGACCGGTGGTTAGTAGAATTTTCTATTCGTGGAAGGCCGGTGGTTAGTAGAATTTTTCGATTCGTGGAAGGCCGGTGGTTAGTAGAATCTTTCGATTAGTGGAAGGCCAGTGGTTAGTAGAATCCGGTGGTTAACGATGGTTAGTGGATGTTGGTGGTCAGTGATGGTTAGTAGTTAATCGTGGTGAGTGATTAGTTGTGGTTGGTGGTGGTTACTCTTAGTGATGATGAAGACTAGTGATACCGAAGTAATACAAAAAACGCGACCGATGTCTGAATTCTGAAAAAGGAAGATAGACGGAAACACAAGTTCAACGTCTATCAACCTTTTACAATGAGTCTTGATATAATGAACTTAAATCTTAGTACGTCCGCACCGAACACACACATACAATAACTTAAATTAATCGCAACGCAGAAACATACGTCCAAACGAAGGGGATTATCGAAATAGAGTCACCACTCATCGTATCCTTCACGCACCGAATACCAAGCTATTATTAAGTGTAAACTACAGTAAATATATATGAATATACTATGTTATAAGTTTGCTCAATGAGCATATGTAATGTAATTAAAATATTATATCATCTTGTATTGCAGAAATGAATCCCAACAGGGATTTTAAATATTAATAAAAAATCAAATAAATATATATGTATATATATGAACATGTGACTGTATGAATGTGTAAACTGAGAGCAAAATGTAAAGAATATGCGATTCAAAACGTGCCTTCAAAAACCTGGTTACAAAAACCCCTTAAATCCCCCCTGGCTATTTGGTGAATGACTCGACCGATTAAAGCCCAAGCGACCAACCAAAGCGTATGCCGGAGCCAATAATGGACATCCGATCTGCGATGGGAGAAGCTGAGACCGTAACCGTCTCCGCTGTAGGGCACCAATCTCCCGAGAGGCGATTAACAGATGTGGCACGATTATCTTTCAATCCAAATATACTTATGCAGCTACGCCAGGGAAGGCATATTCGCGACCGATGTCTGAATTCTCCGGAGAATCCAGAGGGATCGGTAAACAGCCTTAGTATACCTACACGCCATAGCGCCGTATACTAAGTCCGTGTAAAGAACTCGCGAGCAAAGTGAACTAATAATAGCTTGTTCGCAGCCATTGGCTAGGTATATTTATCGAATACCGATTGCCCAGGTCTCACCACGTGGAGGTTGCTGCGAATGGAGACCCGAGGAAGATAGACGGAAACACAAGTTCAACGTCTATCAACCTTTTACAATGAGTTTCATTATAATCAACTTAAATCTTAGTACGCCCATGCCGAACACACACATACACGCACACATACAATAATTTAAATTAATCGCAACGCAGAAACATACGTCCAGACGAAGGGGATCATCGGCATAGAGTCACCATTCATCAAGTCGTTCACGCACCGAATATCAAGCTATTATTAAGCGTAAACTACAAGAGATATATATGAACATACTATGTTATAAGTTTACTCAATTGAGCAACTAATAATAGCTTGGTGTTTTTACAATACTTTATCGAGCGTAATACACGATTTATTGCCAGAAGGCTACTTTGAGTACAGACCGAACCTCCCGGTCAACCCATACGCAACGAATGTTGTTTTTTAACGAGTTATTTTTTAAGTTCGCACGGGTGTCATGATGATTATCACGTAAAGAAAAATTTCCATTTGATCTTCGCAATAACAAAAATTTTTTCATGTTCTTCAAGCGGAGGCAAATGTATCATAACATGTTTTTATAGATAGTTTACTTTGATACATTAGAAATTTAATCCCACGACGATTCCTGAAACTAAACAAAGTACAACTGTTAATTTAATAAAATGCAGTCATTAAGAAAAATTATAAAATATGAAATTAGATCAAGCTATTCAATGATATTCTCATTGCATACAATTTTTTATTATGATTGTGTGATTATATTGGTTTGTGCAAGAAGGAAGTCGGAGGTTGTCACATTCCTCCACTAATATGTCATTCATCATATATGTATTCAATATATTGACTATAGAGGTTCATATACACAATGGACTCAAGAATATGCATTGAATATTAAGAGCATTAATACTGTTTTGTCCAAATATAAAATATGTATTAATTGTATGAGTTGTAGAAAATGCTATGTATAAGAAGACGACTACCCTAGCTAAAAAATAGAATTGATTAATGTTACTATTCGAAGGTATAATAGTATACCCACATTCACTGTACTCTCCAAATTTAGCATATATACAACCAGTTGCCTATGCCACTTTGGACTAATCGTCCTATGGCATGATTGGGAACTGGAGTAATAAAAAAGACATGCAAAGACTCACCCAATGATGGAAGGGTTTACAGTCTCTGCTGGTGGAACTTCAGATTGTGTTCAGGGTTACGCGAGAGGCCGTCTCAGGGGACATCTGATTTAGTGTTCAGTGATGCAACATTTAAAGAAACTGGAAAAAAAACAAGACAAATTTATTACACTCAATATTATTTTTACTGATAAATATAACACAACAATTATTCAGTTTCTAATATTTATAAATTACGTTGTAGCATAATACATAACTATGCTACAATCATGTTTGTTGTTTTATTTAATCCATGTCCCACTTTTCTACATATTCAGAAAATCATTACAAGTACTATGGGATTTAATAAGGAGATGTTAAGTTTCATGTGAATATAATTTAATTAAACACAACACTTTTACAACGCTTTAAATTTAATAACACGAACACGATTTGATTATAATAACACAACACGACAACTCAGAGTAACAACTCGGAATGAATAATTGATAACGCATAACAAGAAGAATAACGAAATCACTCCACTCACAACTAGCTTGTTGAGTGATCGAATGACACTCTCTTTCATATCCCACAGTACCAAAGTTGCATTATTTACACATGCTTTGATAAAAAGCATGATAAACTATGCAGCTTGTATTAATCAAATTTACACCCAAAACTGTATACATATAAATGCAAATACAATAATCTCATATGAAAAGACAGGAGAAATTATCTATAATCTATTTTAATACAATTTCACGAATGAGATACGTAAATCACAAACATTTCTAATTTGAATGTCTCGAAGTATTGTAGTTTAAATTTTGTAACATTCTAAGAAGCCATTTTGAATGTGCTTCAACTAAATATATGCATTGAAAAAATCGCTCGAAAAAATTCTCATTTGATCTTAACACACACCAGAAAATCACGATTATTTCACTTACGGTTAAAAACGATATAAAAATAAGTAATGGAGTGTCACTTTGTTGTTATAATAAATATTATAATAACTTACCAGAGTTCACCAACTTCCCGCCGAATTCCGTTTGAAGGCAGTCAGCGATGCTCAGAACGGTAGTGCGTACTTTCAAACCGAAACTCTGAAACAGAAAATAAACATAATTTTAAGTAATTACACTACGTTAAGAATAGTTACGTTACAAATTAACAATTACTGAACACGTGGTGTGTCGCAAAGATTACAAATTGAATCAGAAATACGTAAATATTGTATTAATTGGTACACAGTGAAACCGAAGAGTAAACCGATACCTAGGTATCATATTAATTTGAGATTACTTAGTCTAAATAGGATAAATATTAAAGGACAGTAACGATAGAGAGCTAATGAAGGTACTTGTAATTAATATATATGAATAAAGATGAAAGATAATTGTCAAACACTCACTCTGGCACGAGCAAACAACTCCTGCGTCGTATCGCCTCAACTTCTCCGAAACGAATGACACTTCGGTTACATTCGGCCAGTCCCGAGCGGTTCATTCGGCTATCTTCGGGAGATTCCGAGAAGCTGATTGGTCAGAGTGGTAGATCCCCGACTAATGCGACTTGGCGGGAATATGCATGTGCAGTAATCCAGTTTAAAAGATGAATGTACCACTTAACAAACTCCTTGAAGAATCTATATACCTGATACAACTATGAGACAGCGGGTAATTGGCGCATGTTAATTGATCAGTTTCCGGAAATTTGGCCCAGTTTATAGAATAGAATTTTTCTCTTACCTCAATTTGTATGAAATTAAATAACAATACGTTAAATATTTTCGACAATAGAATATTGATAGCAATCATATTTTCGGTGGGATTTGTTAAACATTCTATCAGCTATTTTGTAATGCAAATAGTTATTACTTATAAGAAGCAGAAATCGAAATATACGGAAACTTGTGAGATATGGATCATTTTATGCGCTTTAACCTGCAGTAAATTTTATTTTATTGTAAATTATTAAACAACGACCATGTCTTGGTGTTTATGACCTTAGTGTCCATTCTAAAATATATAACAGTCATTGTCAAGGACAATATCAATCAAACGTCGATCAAAGAAATCCTACTGTTCTACAAATTTTTATGAATTCCTTGTTTAAAACGCTATCAAGGCACATTTTCATTAAATAATATTTATTTAACAATCGTCATAAACATTAAGACATAGTCATTGTTTAATAGTTTGCAATAAAGTAAAATTTGTTACATGTAAAAGTTCATTACACGGTTCATATCTTGAAAGTTCGTCTATATTTCGATTTATATTTGTTATAAACAATAACAATTTGCGTTATAAGACAGCTGACAGAACGTTTAACAATATTCCTCAGAGAGGTAATTGTTATAACAATTACCTTATTAGAAATAATAAATTAATCGAGAAATAATTTTTGGTGCGCTCGAGTTTCCAGTGCACTCAATGTTTGCGCACCTGTCCGCGCACCAGTGTGCGCAAGTTCACAGTCGCTGCGAGCCCATAAAGACGAGCGCGTAATAAAAAATCCTCAGTTCACTCGCGTCCGCGGACCTCGTAGAGGTCTTCCCGGGATTGCTGACCACTGGTAGACACTGGCCAAGGGGGTTCAAGGGGTCCTCTCTATTATCCGAACTCGACGAGGTCTTCCTACGATTGCTGACTACTGGTGGACACTGGTCAAGGGGGGTTCAAGGGGTCCTCTCTATTATCCGAACTCGACTCAGGGGTTCGTTTTTTTTTATTTTTTTTTTATTGTGATTTATTTTAATTAATTGGGTTTTATTTTAATTCCTTGTGTTTTATTTTAATTTATTTTAATTAACTGTGTTTCATTTTGATTTATTTTAATTAACTGTGTTTTATTTTGATCTATTTTAATTACTTGAATTTTATTGTGATTTGTTTTAATTAACTATGTTTTATTTTGATTTATTGCAATTAATTGTGTTTTATTTTGATTTATTTTAATTGTGTTTTACTTTAATTTATTTTAATTAACTGTGTTTCATTTTGATTTATTTTAATTAACTGTGTTTTATTTTGATCTATTTTAATTACTTGAGTTTTATTATGATGTGTTTTAATTAACTATGTTTTATTTTGATTTATTCTAATTAATTGTGCTTTATTTTGATTTATTTTAATTCAATAAACTCAAGAAAGAAGCCATCCGCCGAGGGATTTCGATATTTATAATATAAGCGTATTTAGATATCTAAGTTAGTTGTACGATTATTGTGAAAGGTGGATAGATGGAACTTGTGTTTCCATCTATCTTCCTTGGGTCTCCACTGGCAGCAACCTCCACGTGCTGAGACCTGGTAATCGGTGTTATCCTCGATAGTTTTGTAAATCGAGGATAATACTGAGCCAATGGTTGCAAACCCATTGTAAAATAATTGTAATGTATACCGAGTACTTATTATTTTTCTCGCGTGGTCCGCTATTTCCGGTCACTCTGCAATGTGCAGGTGATCGGCCGTGTTGTAGGCCCCGAAAATCGGATTCCCTAACTAGCTATCCTAATCATGGGTC